AAGGAAGGAAGGAAGGAAGGAAAGCAAGCAAGAAAGAAAGAAGGAAAGAGATAAAGAGAGAAAGACAGAAAGAAAGAAAGAAAAGACTCTTCACAGTTTTAATCAGCAAATCCCTACTTAAAGCTAATTGGGACAACTAGCATCTTAAGTGTGACAGAAAAATATTAAGTAGAATTGAATATAGTCTTTAAGAAAAAAGCTGACAATGTTGTTGGAAAGCAAAGAGATATATAAGCAACTAAACTCTTTATATTGTCAAGATTTAACCATCAATTACTTTTGATACTAAATATGATGGAAAAATAAAGAATTCGATAGATATATTTACATTTGGATTAAGTATTATTCTATCATTTTACAATGCTGAGTAACAAATCCAATAGTGTCTCAGCATCTGCCCTGACAGTCAGAAATTAGTACACGATTTATTTGAAGGCTTCATTTCTATTCTATCATATGTAATAATAATAGCCTAGTTATTTTTATTTTAGTAAGAGTTAAGGAGAGAACATGGTTTCATTTACTGAATTTTATGTAACTAAACATAAATGTTTATTTCCAGTATGTTCGTGGTAGCACCTTCAAAGAAATCCCCATGACTGTCTATAGTAAGTATCTGATAAATATTGTCTACAAATAAGTGGCAAGATGTAAAACAATCATTTTCTTTGCATTTGCAAAGACTTGATAATCTGGTATTTAGAATTCCACACACCAGGGTATCTCCTTCCTTTGGAAACAGAGATTGAAGTGTAGGAGAAGCTTTCCAGCCTTGCCCATATCCTTATATTCGATTGAACCACTTTCCTACTCATAAGAAAACTAGAGCGAGAGGGTATGGCATGGATAGAATGCTTGTGTGGCTGAGAGAAAATGTATGAAAGACATATAATGGGAAGAGATGGCAAAATGGCACAATAGTTACTAAAAGTTCGAATGTGTCGATATAATAACAGCACTGCTAAATAACAAAACCTTTCTTTCTTCTCTCAAGTCCTGAGCTATGAGAAGGTGTGGCAAGGATGAATAATGTTTATGAGGTAGCAGTACAAAACAAACACACAATCTTCTAGGTTCCAGAGTTCTTTTATCCTAGATAATACCAGATTATCAAAGCTCAACCTGTACTGCTTAACAACAGAAGAGCATTTAATTCTCATAAATATCACTCATAAAGTGTTGTCTTCATTGTAGCATTATCCTCCGGCCTTCTTTCTTCCTTTCATCGTAGCTTTCAAAGCAGAAATTCTCTTCATTTTGTTTTGGCTCTACAACTAATTATTCAAAATGTACCAGTAGCTAAAGTATTACTAGAAAGTTATTCTGTCTCATATTATGAACATCCAGTTATTTAATTACTAACATTTTACACTAGATATTGAGAAGGAGCAAAGCCAATAAGGAGCAAAACAAAATGTCTGCTACTCATATTGATTTAAGCTCTGTGACTTTACCATTCTCAATTCCGTTATCAAGCCAGCTTAATACTGTCTCAAGGATTTAAATAGACTAGTGATGATCCAGCCTGGTATAAATTCTAGACTGGAAGTATATAATTTTGTCAAAATCTACTTTACCATGAGTTAAAGGATCCTTATGGGCTCTATTCATCAGACATGCTATGTCATCCTTCACCACCAAAGACAGATATGAACAAGTTTTTTAACATCTATTTTTCCATGTAGTCTGTTCCTCTCCATGTATGGAAGAACACTATTTTGCTTATCATAAGCCAAAATATTACTAGAAATTTTTAATTACCCTTTACAGAAGTTGTCTCAGTCATAGGTCATTATCCACATTTAAAAATATATATATTTAAGTTTAATTAATGAGTCTTGCTGATCTATTTAGAACCCTTAATCAAACTGACAGATGAATTACAATGTTGGATGTCTCTATTGCTCCTATCAGAGTAAAATACTGCCACTAAACATTTCAAACAGTAGAGACTAAATAAACCAAAGATTTAATTTTTTATGTCCTTTTGTTGGTTTTTCTCTAAAGTTTGTAATTTCCTTGGTGCATATGACTCTTGTCCTACAACTAATATATATGTATATATTTGGAGAATTCTTTTTCTCCAATTTTGTTTTTATTATCTATCATTAGTCATACAAAATAGTTACCATTCAACAAATTGGTTTATGAAAATAATGCATCTATTTCAATGTCATCATTTTCATCATTCTCTCCCATCCCTCCCAAACCAACTCTTCCCCTCAATTTCATGGGACATGCATTAAATATTGTGACTGCATCTCCTCCCTTAAATTGTATTTTGCATGCTTTTTGTATATATTATCAAATATCGAGTATTTGAAGTGCAAGAGACAAGCATCAATAAATCCTTAACTCTATTTGTCAAGATTTAATTCCTCAGAAAAGAAATATTAAAATAAATCTACCAATTAATTAATTATACATCTTAAACTTAATTCCTTTACATGATTCTAAAAAATTAAAGTACAAGAAATTAATCCACTTTAATAATAACAGTACAAATCTTTCTTTCATTTGATCCTCATGGGAAGTTACTTCTGAGACAAAACTATGTGTGGGATAAATAATTAAATACATAGATTGGAAATGTTTTAGAATCTCCTAATTTGAGATTAAACCAAGATTTAAATACAGTCTTTATAAGGGGCCAGATCCTACATTGGTTTTAAAAGTTGATAAAATAAATATCTCAGAACAGGAGATAAAAATCTGACAGAAACCAAGTTGTGATAACATTTCAGCTCTTAGGAATCAGCATTAGTCACTAATTACTAATTCAGCTCTAAGGCATCTTCTTACACAGTATTACCATCTTTTATGTCTTCTATCCCATTCCTGGGAATTTACTCAAAAGATGCAGTAAAGCCACCAGGACAACCATGTTCACTGCAGCACTATTCACCGTAGGCAAGGTATGGAATTAGTGCAGACACTCCTCAATGGATGAATGAATCAAGAAAATGTGGTATATACACAGAATGGAATTTTACTCATCCATTAGAAAGAATGGTTTTGCACCATTTTCAAAGAAATGGAAGGAGCTGGAAAAATTCTGTTAAGTGAAGCAAGTGAGGCCCACAGAGACCAAGGTTGCATGCTTTCTCCCAAATGTGGAAGCTAGAATTAATTGATAAATATGTAAGTAAATACTTTGGGTGGTACACATATGTACCCAAATATGTTACCTGAAATACAGTAGATTCAGTGGAGAACTCAAACAGTGTAATGCCTTAGAAAATCTAAATCAACGTTCAACAGAGTAAACAACAAGAAATTGGTACTTAGAAATGGTAGGGTGAAGGACAGGGAGGTAGACAAATGAAGAGATGAAAGGAAGAAAATGCAATAAAAAATTCAATGTATATCTTACAAAATTAAGAAACTAAGGGAAGGGGTGGGTTGAGAGGGATGACTGAGAGTGTTGAAAGGGATGACATTGAGCAAGATGTATTCATAAACTTCTTTGTTGAATGGTGTGTGTGTGTATGTGTGTGTGTGTGTGTGTGTGTGTGTGTGTGAAAAGACAGGAATGAAAGAAAAGTCTGTAGTTTGACAATTTTTCACTCCAAAAACACATTTCTGCCTAAGTTAACCTGTATAACCAAAGTCAACCAACTCCTTGACTACTTTAAGTAAACTTTGTGTGCATTATTATCTCACTTAGATTTATGACATACATTTAAAACACATATCATGAAATTAAAAACATAATGAACCCACTAAATCTAAAAATTAAAGATATTTTAACATTAAAATTAAATTCTGACCATATCATATTTGTTGCATAGAGCTCATGTTGGCTGGCTGAATTTCCCTCTTCCCTTTAAGCATTCTGAATTCCTTCTCATATTTTTCCTTTCTATATCACTGTTGTTATCAAATGCATGAAACATTTTGTCTTTATTTCAATACCCTTTTATAATTGAGAAAAGTTCAACAATGCAATTGAAGATATTATGAATTGCATGGAATTAATTCTTTGTCTTCTGTTACTATACAGCCAATTTTCAAGAAGTACAAAAGAAGGTAAAGAGCATTAGAGGAGTAGCTCAGAATGAGATTTCTAGATAGAATTCCTATTTTAGTGATTTTATTTAACTGGAACAAATCCACGTCATGACTTCAGAGCTCAACACCTGAACACAGAAGACATCAGTTACATACTGCGCATATTTCCTGTAGCTAACTGCCTGAACATATGACCATATTTGATGACTCAATACCCTCTGAGGGCAAGAGAAAAAGTACATCATTCATTTTACTTTTGTATAAACATCATTCATATTCCACTTTCTATGATTTCAGCCACTAAAATTATAACCAAAGTGGTGGAACCAAAAATAAAAGTGATTCAAGGCAGTCTTCAGCCTATTATCAAAACTGAAGGTAAAAAAAATAAATAACTACTATACATGGTTCCTTTACTGTGACAAAATTCACATCATCTACTGATGTCTATGAATGAATCTGCATTCTTCTTGAAACTAACATGCTAAATATTTCTTTACCAATGGCATGCTCATGAAACTACAGAATGTGTAGTACAAATTATTTAGCAATGTAGATGGTGCATTTCTAATACTTTCAGTACATTTGCTTGTATTTGATTTCATTAAGTTCAACTGATTTCAAATTCGCACTTGTACCCAGATACTCACTAAAAAAAATAGAAAAAGAAAAAAAAAAGTCTTGAACATTTCTACCATATGTTCCTTCAGTGACTGTGGTTTTTGGTACCTTTGTTTCCGATCTCCCCAAAAGTCTCTTTTGTACTATTATAAGAATCTTGCTTCACAATGAGCAACCCTTTTTTAAAATTATTCAGCTACTTAAGAGAGCATAGAAGTTGTACGTCAATGGAAGCTTTTAAAAATGCAACCAAACATTGGTGTAATGTACACTGACAATTTATAAGAAAGCAAATAAATTTACTGAGAGATAAAATTATAGGGCCAACATTTTTAAACTTAATCAACAGGCAAAGAGATAATAACTTTGTTAATGAGTCAAGCCTTAGAATCTTACATTCCATATGTGATCATATTGTTATCTATGAAATACTTACTTTTCTCCTGGTGTTTCGGACTATAAAAGCCACTTTTCTCTCCACTCTCACTGTTCATTTCAGCCAATCCCAAAGTCTTTGACATTATCTTAATTTCAGGTGTTTTAATTATCTCCAAGGGTTAAACTTCAAGCATTTCTTCTTTTCTATGTTTATGTATCATGATGTGTACCTTGCCAGAGAACAAACCTGGTTATTGTTTTGTCCTATAAAAAAAAGAAACTATTTGAAAAGAGGAACAGGATATGTCTATAATTTCATCTAAAGAAAAAGATTCTTGCACTCATCTTTGACTTTCATCATTTCTTTCTGTGAATTAAGATAGTAACTTTGAATACAATTGTCTTTATGTTCCTTTGAGTTCCTTCATCTTTTGAATCTTTATAATAGGGTTCTGTCTACCCTCTCATTGTTATTTCAGTTAGGAGCATAATGAGGTATCAGTTTGTTGAATCTAGAGTTCTCCCATAATGGAATATGGATGCAAAAAATCATGCTACAAATTCACTAACAAGAGTTTTGTTCAAAGATTCATAGCTTTTACTTTCCTTACCATAATGAAGGAAGCAAATATTCATCTTGACAACCAGCTCTTAAGATTGCTACTAGAGTTACCTTCTCTTGTTAGGAACTTTATGAATTCATTGATGAAATTTGGGTTCTGTCTAAGTACCTTACACTCCCAGACATAATTTTGAGGTATCTGGCTTTTTCAAATAAGTAATTAGGCAAATTTTAAGATTAACTAGATATCTTCTTATTTCTCCACCTTAAACTCTTAGGATACTTTCATTTAGAAATTTCTCCACCTTAAAAATCTGATGTCATGTCTATTCAGTAGCCATTGGCCTCATCTATGATGGCCTGGAATATTTGTGCTTTGACCGAACTGTATATTTGTTTCTATTATTTGTCATTATTCTATTTAATTCTGGGTATTGGTATATATAGACAATTGATGGACAAGAAAAATCTAAAGATAAGCAATTACTACCACATTCAACTATTGAAAGGTATTACAGTATGAGTTAAATGTACTGAATCATGTTTTTCTTACTCCTCTGTGAAAGATTCTTGATTAACTAATGTAGTAATTTGCTAACATTCAAAATGATTTTCTCTGAGAGCAAAATCATTTTGCAAGTCAAATGTGACAGCTGATTATCTTTGCATTTGAAGACCTATTTTAATTAGTTAACTTTTCATAGTTTTCATATACAAGGTAAGTACTCTAGTCCAATTTCCCATAAAACCTAAAATTCTGCATCTTAAAGGTAAGTGTATGACATTTTCTTATTTTCAGTCCTTATGTTTATTTAGGATAAAAATGTAAGGTCCTCATCCAGATGTTGGTGGCTCACACCTATAGAATCCTAGCTATCAGGAGGCTAAGACCTAAAGATAAATGTTCACAGCCAGCTGGGCAAGAAAGTCCATAAGCTTTTTATCTCCAATTTACCCCCAAAAAGACAGATGTGGAGGTGAGGCTCAAGTGGTAGAGCAACAACCTTGAGTGAAAAAGCTTAGAAATAGCACCCAGGCCCTGTGTTCAAACCCAGTACCAAATACACACATACAAAAAATTGTAAAGTCCTGAGACATTAAAAAAAAACTTAACTGAACTGGTGAGTCTCACCTATAATCCTAGCTACTCAGGAAGCTAAGATCTGAGAATCATGGTTCAAAGACAGCCTGGGCAGGAAAGTCTATGAGACTCAAATAATATACTCAAATAACAACTCAAGTGAAATACTTTTGCTAATGACAGAGAAGTAGAGAGGATTAATCTGATGAAGTAGGATCTAAACTAGTAATAATTAGTCCGTCAAATTTGTATATATGTGATTCACAAAAGTTGTCACATCCAATATTTTCATATTAATATTATATCCAATGTTATCATTTGCTACAAGCAGTAGTGAGTGGGTGGCTTTGTACATCACTTTAAACACTTAGACAGATGAAGTAGTTATATAGCACACCAACAGAATGAACCATTTTGTTTATAAGTATTGCCTAATCAAAAGATAATGAGAAATGTTTAAAACTGATTTTGTAAAACCTGAAACACTTTGATATCTGAGTAACACCATATGTTGAAATTAATTTCCTGTTCTCGTAAACTGAAAGGATCATTGTAACACGGTGATATGTCTCCTATCATACCATCTCAGGACCTGCAATGACTAAAATCCAAATCGAAGGTGAGCCCGAATTCAAACTGATCAAAGAAGGAGAAACTATAACGGATGTGATCCGTGGAGGTGAGTGGTCTGTTTGCTCCAGTAGCATCGCTGTGACTATTCAGCCATCATTACAGTGCATCTAGATCAGTGTCATCCCTTCTGCTGGGACTGTTTTAATATAGTGTGTGTGTAGAATTAATGCACATCCAATTTTTTTCTTTGTTTTCATTTTATATTAATGGGGGTATCACTTTCAAAGCTGTTAATCAGCAGTCAGTAATAAAATAAGGCACTTATTAACAGTCAGAAATGAAATATAGTTTGGCTTTGAGAGGTCCACTTGTCATTAACATTATCTATTAAGTCTCTAGTTCCAGTGAAAATGCCATTAGCTCTAGGAATGTATATTGTGTTATGCAATACAGTGTTTATGTTGATACTAACAGAAAAAAAAGTAATGTGCACTCAGAAGAGGAAAATGGCATTTGTGTAAGACTGTTAATAAGCCACTGTCAGGTTTATTGTAGGACTCCTTGTTCAGTGATGGAGATTTGGCTTACCAGCTTCCCTCTCCTTCAACTAAGATTAAAAACCTAACCATTGCCTTGCAAGACTTATTACTAGCAAAGGAATTCATTTAGTTATGTCCCTATAATGATCAGTATCAAATTTTAAATGGTGATATCTTAAGGAAAGTATTCCATCATTAAAATATCTATCGTAAGGAGTGAGTACACATACCATACAGGGTAAATCAAAGATATTTTTCTTCCCCTACTTTCAGAACCAATTATTAAAAAGTACACAAAAATCATTGATGGAGTGCCTGTGGAAATCACTGAGAAGCAGACACGAGAAGAACGAATTATTACAGGTAATTCTTAATTCTGTGCACAAAACTGCACTAGATGTACAAAAGCTATATGATAGTCAATCCTCAAATATCTGCAAGATCATCTGAAAACTGACTAAACTTTCCTTGTGGAAGTTGGTAAAGTTACTTCATTTTCCTTTTCTTGGCAAAAATACTATGCTAAGTAGGTAATTTGTGTTGTACTTTGAATTGGACATTTTAGACATAGTACAAGAATGTTTTTTTCATTATGTACATGCATACATGCTGTAAAATATTATACCTTTGCTTTACTGTTGTTTATTCTAAAACACAAAAGATTTTTTATGTATGAGCTTCATTAAACTTAGGGTCCATATGTCCACTTACAAGTCTATATAGAATTTTGTTCAAGTTTATATAAAAAGTTGATGAAGCCGGGCACTGGTAGCTCACACCTGTAATCCAAGCTACTGAGATCTGAGGAAAATCCAAGCTACTTATGATGCTGAGATCTGAGGATTGAAATTAGAAGTCAGTTTGAAGAAGCAAAGTCCATGAGACTCTTATCTCCAATTAATTACCAGAAAACCAGAAGTGGAGCTTTGGCTCAAGGTGGTAGAGCACTACCCTTAAGCTAAAGAAGCACCCGGGACAGCACTCAGGCCCGGGGTTCAAACCTCACAACTGACAAAAAAAAAGTTGATCAATAATTTTACCAAGTTTTTGTATCATTCTTTCACCTATAAATAACTTTAAATTCTATTTTATATGTATGCATCAGTAATCAGAAAATAGGCTCTGTAGCACATATTTTTATTAATTAGTGTTCATGGAACACTGATGTGAGAGCACTCACATGTAAAAATGTCCATAGCTACTTTCACACCTCTATAATGACAAAACTGGCAGGTGCAATTCAGACCCCATGTTTCACATTACTGACTTGCCCTTCACGAAAGCTTGGTCACCCATGTTTTAGACTTTTAAAAAGTGTCTTTTCTTTAGGTCCTGAAATAAAGTACACTAGAATTTCTGCTGGTGTTGGAGAAACAGAGGAAACCTTGAAGAAACTATTGCAAGAAGGTCAGTATGCCTACCAAAAGAAGAATGTACATTTCAAATGTCTGTGCCCACACCAAAAACAAATCTTTTTATCCTTGTGTATATTAATTATACATACTATCATTCCTTCCAACATTCATGTTCATAAGGAAGAGATCTAAACATACGTACGAAATGGAGTCTAAAATGGTATCCATAGTGATTGTTTGGTTAGACATTGATAGACAGTTTCATATCCCATCTCCCCCCAAAAATTGGATATCAGCACTAAAGACTGAGAAGGAAGTGAATGTTGATCTGAAATTCTTTATTGGGCAGAGTTTATCACATCTCTCTCTCTTATCTATTTATTATATAAACCAATTTCTGCTATAAACATATATCCTCTCAGAGGTCACCAAGGTCACCAAATTCATTGAAGGTGATGGTCATTTATTTGAAGATGAAGAAATTAAAAGACTACTCCAGGGAGGTTAGTAAAAGGGTAACTAACCCATTTAACAGGTGCTGCTGGTTGAGTTCTTCAGCTTTTTAAAGACTGGGCATAGAGGTTTTTCTTTTCATTAGGTTAAAACAAAAGCAATCTCAGGTATTGTCTTAGCAAATCAAGTGGCTTAAGTATTAGTTACAAAGAATTGATGCCTAATTTATACAGTCTTTAAAAAGTTTATGATACAAAGCTAGGGAGCATTGAATATTTTTTGCTTTAATATGGACAATTGTGAGGATCTTTGGAGTGTATGGGAAAAGAAATGATTTTTAAATTATTGCTGCTAAACAAGCCCAAATTTGACATTTTAAAAAATATTTTCAAAAAAATATATTCACTGCTCCTGTAACACCAATGGAGGCATGTTGGGGATCTGTAAGTGCATAGATATGCTTTTTAAAAAACAATATTCTTGTGATTATTTCTTCTAACCATGTGAGTGAAATATAAATTATTTTATACATGAAATTAATCTTTCAAGTATGGAATGTTCTTCATCTAGGACATTCAATGGACTTTACTTTCATAAGCAAAAGAGTAAAACAAAGAATTCAAAAACTCTAAATGACAATTTAAAAATTTTCATTTTCAATAGAAATATACCCATCTGAAAAATAGAATACCCAAATCATAACTAAAAAAAAAAACCTAGACATTCCTGTAAGATCTAACACAGGATTTACCAATCTATCCCCAATTACTCAACTCTCTACTACAAAAAATTAGCAGGAAAAGGTGAACACATTATGCGCATTGAATTGAATTCTTTGATTTTTCCTTTTCAGTCCTTGCCATAGTGAGCAGCTTTGTAGAATGGCAGTGCTTGTTAGAGAATGAATGAATTAGTAGATGTTCCTAGTTGTATTGATTTCTTTCATTTTAGGGTTGAACTGTGGGTGAGTATATTTTCTCCTACTTTTATAAGGTTTTGCTAATAAGTCCATTGTTAAACACAAGTAAGTACTCAAGAGTTGATTCAGTTCTAAAAGATATCCTTGCTACAAGACAAGAAATGGATGCTCTCGTTTTAGTGGACTCCTTTCTTGGATTGTATGTTTGTTCCTTTCGGAGGTTCTTTAGGTTTTCTACACACACCCATCAGGATTTCTTTTCAAATATGTTACATCAAACATTTTATCAAAATATCTCTAAAGCATGCCTTCTCAGAGAAAAGAAGATACATGCTTGTGTGGTAATTGGACACACTAGCTTTCTTTATTCAGCCATCTACAATCCACACTCAGACAAACCATTATTCCCTCAACTCAATTCTAAGAGACAAAGATTTACAAAAAGTTGTTGTGCCTGAAGATTATGTCATGAAGGACTGGCTTTTCCCATCAGCATTAGGCCAACTGACACACACCCCAGCCATGCTCTTCATTTGACCACTCAGAACACTCAGTCTGTTATGTTTGGGCTGTGAACATTGCGACACACAAAGTTCATCTTGATGACTTGGGTGCACATCCCAATCACTTCAATCAGGACTGATAACACAAAAAATGTCTCTTTAGCACTTACACTGTATCTTGTCACTGAGATGTCTCAAGTTTCTGAACTGAAAAACTATTCACACAAAATGTGTACAATGTTTCATGCTTATCATGGGCAGAAATGTATATATTGAGACTATTAGCAATTGTAGAAGAATGTTATCCATAGGGGAAGAGAAAAATTCATTTGGGTAGGTTTTGTAAATCTGCCAATAAAACATATAATAACTTATCAATTCTTCAGAGAACCTGGAATGTGTTTTAAATCTAGCGTCAAGCTGAGTTCTGACTTGAACAGGGATTTGACTGACTTCAACCATATTCCCTTCATGTGAAAAATGAAAGTGGCAATGTTACTTGAATCTTAAATGAATGACCATATGAAAAAAAATCTTGGAATAATATTCCACATGCAGTACTATATAATACTACTTCAGTCAACACTTACTCTGTCAGCAAATATTATAATCAAAAGTACTGTCAAGTGGTATTTGTAACAACAGAAAGCTTCACACCCTATTTTAAATTTCCAAAATCATAGTCAAGTAAAAATAAATTAAAAGGGAGCCACGCACGGGTGGTTCACTCCTGTAATCCTAGCAACTAAGAAGGCTGAGACTTGAAAATTGTGGCTCAAAGCCAGCCTGGACAAGAAAGTCCATGAGATTCATCTCCAGTTAGTAACCAAAAGGCCAAAAGTGAAATGTGATCAAATGATACAGCATCAGACTTGAACAAAAAATAAAACAAGGAACAGGGACCAGTGTCCTGAGTTCAAGCTCCAATAATGGCACAAAATAAAAATGAAAATGGAAAGAAAATTTTCAAATAATTGAGCAGAAATATTTTGCATGTTGAGAAAACATGTATTTGAGGAGAAGCATTTGTGCCAAATCCTTTGGTGATTGGCTTGTCCTCTTACTTCTTACTTGAACAAAAGTGATTGCATACCACTCAATTTGTGTTGAAATAGCTGAGAACCCCTGGGAGCAAACCTTCACTATGCACTTCATGCACACTTTTCTTCTAAAATATTAGTCGCGTTTCACCTTTCTTACTTTGATATTATCATAGTAAAATGGTCACAAATCTTGTTATATGCTACCAGATTTTGGATAGGAATCTAATTGTACTTGCCTATTTTGAAAAATAGATTGTATATGTGTCCCTTCTTTCAATTGCACAATAAACCTTTATGTGGAACTTAATAAATTCTTGAAAATAATGCTTTTATTCACTAAGTAAAGGTTGGAAACAAAGAACCAAAACTACTCCTAAAGATAATTCATTGCTTGCACTTTATGGGATTTCAAAGAATTCCTAAGCATATACACGAAAGAAAATTTTCAACTTTCTTTCTGAGTACTAACATATAGAAAATAAGAAGTCAAAGAAAAACTAAGGAGAGTGACAAAGATGAGTTGCTTTCTCTGGGAGATACTTGTGTTTATGTATTCTTTTCTCAAAAGTTAATTCTTTTTATTAAAAGGTCAAAAAGTACATAAGTCCTTTACTCTGCGAAAATGGCACAAAAATGAGACTTCAGAAGGCATAAATAAACAATGTGTTTGGCAATTAGTGAAGATTTTTTGTGTTCTATAGCAAGCAAATCACTGTTCTTCATCTATATGAAATGCCTTATAAGGACTGTAAAATTTGCTACTAAAAAAAAGAAAAAGGAAATCTTGGTTAAGTGGTAGCTATTTAAAACTTTATACTTTTGTCTTTAATTGCGGTATTCAGTCTGATTTTATCTATAACTGCTAAGCATTGCTCATTCTAAATTTTTAATTTTAGACACACCTGCGAGAAAGATACAAGCCAACAAAAGGGTTCAAGGTAAATGTACTGACTATAGTAATAGTGCATGTGGCTTATCTTACAAGAAAGATCAAGGAAGCTTTTATTATAGCTTTTAGAGCTATTTTTTCTGTCAGAGAAAAGTTAGTCCAGTTAAGATATGAACTATTTTGGTGACAAGTATCAGAAGAAAAATTGCTCATGTTCTGCATTATTCATAGAATCAAATTATTTAATAAATAAACACTTAAAGATAACATGAACATTTTCACATAAATGAGCATATTTCAAGAGAAGGAAGACTTAACCTTTAAAACTTTATGAGATAAGGCTACAGTTGATTTTGTAAATAAATTAGAACAGTACAATGCAGAAAAAAGGTTAATATAACTGTTAATAATATTTTGATATAATTTACCAGACTATAATTTTCTTCATAATTACATTTATGCACACTTTCTATTTTGTCCTATTGTAACTCAAAACACTGATAGAGTAAAAATTTTCTCTGTGGAGCCTAAACAAAAATTTTGGAACTGTAAGTTTGTAATTCCTGAGATAGTTCCATAGAAATAGCAAAAAGAAGTCACAAGGCTTATTAATGCATTATAGGCGAATCTGATTTTAAGCTAATTCAAAGTGTAGAACTTTGAAATTCAAGGGCCCATCTTTACAATGATTTTAGTTTGGGGGGTATTTTTTCTCACTGAAGAATTTATCAAGGATTTTTAATATTTCTTTTTTTATTCTCTTTCAATAGCTGTACAAAGGAGTTGCCATGTAACACAACCTTATGTGTAGACACTTCATCTTGATCAGATCAGTGTTACCCTAAACATCCAAACCCATTCAAATTTCCTGAAGTATTTGGTGTTTTTATTCCTGATTGCCAAATTTCAAGTTATTTTTTATATATTATTAGCCAAAACAAAATCTTGATTTTTATCACCATAAGCTAAGGATACTATTAAGAGAACATAATTGAGATAAAGTTTATAACAACTGCAGTATCTTTTGATAGACACTTGTGTACAGAATATCACTTTCTTAATCTCTAGTTTTACCATCTTTTCCCCTCATGTATTGTGTCTTTTTCCTAACAGGAGCTAGAAGACGATCAAGGGAAGGTCGCACTCAGTGAAAAATCCAAAAGCCAGACAGACGATAAAGTTGATGCAATCCTAAGTCAACAATCTGCCCTTCAGGAAAATGTCAGGAGAGCTGTGTTGACTTAGAGAACTGTAACACCAGCAAAACAGCAAACCATTCACTAATTCCGCACACACATTTAACTGTTTTCTGAATGAGAAACATGGGGGTAATGTTGGAGTTAGCCTCCCATGGGATTAAAAATCTGAAGGAAACATAATACCTTGTAGGTTTTTTTATTTGTCTGAAATTTGACATTAAAAGTTCTGATTAACTTTCAGATCCATCCTAGAAAGTCCTTGTGAGCCCATGCACTACAGTTTAAAACTAAAATTGCTGAGCTGTAATCATAGTGAGAAGATTGAGCTTGTAATTTACGTAATGGAGATGTCATAAGCATTGTTTTCCTGTACACAGGAAGTTAAGTTATAAAACTAGATGCTCAGTATAAAACCAGCAAATAGACAAACAAAACATTTCACAACCAAGAGCCTTACACATTTCTAATACAATGTGGGTTTACTGGTAAAATTATGCTATTTTTTACAATTTTATACTCTCAAAATGTTTGTCATATTCTTCTTACAGCACATATGTTTTAATCTCAAACACTTCAATAAAACCATTTAGGTATAAAGAGAATTACTTCAGATCAAGTAATTCAGAAAACTCAAGGTTTAACTTTTTAAAAAAGCAGTTCAGACTTGGGGACATGACTTTATACCTCTTTTATTGTGAACAAATACTCAATAAAGGAAATTAAAATAGTGTTTCTGGAATTTTTTCAAACTGTTACATTATATAGTCACTACACAATGAAACAGTTATTTGATACTAACAGACCACTTCTAATATAACCTCCAGGAATGCTAATTTGTAAGGATTCAAAAGATGAAGCAGTTTCATCTAAAGGAAAAGAGATAATCAGTTACCCATTTAAGTACCATGGTTTATAATTACTAAAACAAACAGTACTGCCTAATCATTTCTGAGGTTCACATATTGCTTGTCATAGAGATGCCCTTTCTAAAACTTACAGTAAGCTGAGTCCATTGTATGACAAAGGAGGGGAATATTCATTTTACTAAGAATAACAGAGAGATTGACTTGATCTATTCAAATCTCAGTGAATATCATCCTCAGCTTGGACTGGATGAAATCAATAATATCCATCAGATAGTTTCTTTAGTAATGAGGCACTGAGTGTTGATAGAACAATTGAGGAGAACCTAACTGACTTTGACTAACCAGCATAAGTCAGAGAAACTTCAACACATCACTAAGTGCCACTGAAAACCTAGAAAGGTTTTTAGGTAAAGATTATGTGTTAGAAGAGTAGTTTTGTGAGGAACTATGACAAAAGTTTTACTGAAGAAGTGGTCAGAAGTTCTTGGTTTTCCAGAACTGATCCAAATTTGATGAGATAATGTCTACCATTTAAAATAAAATATCCTATGGAGTCAGTGCTTATGTACAGAATCTGAACTGGAAGGAGTGTGGTTCTGATTTCCCCAAAATGATTCAGACAATGTGGTCACATGTGGTAGCGCTGGCAGACTAGACGGAAGTATCATCAACACAAATGGCTATGCCAGACACTGCTTTTCTGTGATCTAGATGAGAATAGGGTCATTACAAAGAATAAACCATAACTTAGCTCACTTATTTAACTCCTTCAGGATTTTCATTTCATAATAAACCAGATGTTCCAAAGATGGATTTCCAACAGTGCTAATCTGGGACAATAAAATGGACATTGAGTGTTTACAGGCTGACTTTAAAGTTCTGTGATTTTACTATGGAGTCAGGAAGCAAGGGCAGTATTGATCAGTATGCATACATAACGTCTATCACATCCTTTTAACATGTAAGTAGACTTAGAAATAAAGTTGAAAAGGAGTTACTAATAACAACAAAATAAATTTAATGATAATATAAATCAAAAGATCAAAATAACCAGGCACAGGTGGATCACACCTGTAATCCTAGCTAATCAAGGAATATTGTTTGAATTCAGTCCTGGCAGGAGTCTGTGATCCAGAGTTCAAACCCCAGTACCAGCACCCCCACATACACACACACACACACACACACACACACACACACATTAAAATATAAGAAAATAAGAAATAATAATTTTGC